ACGAGGCTCGGGAATATGTCGGGGCCATGGGTCCACCCGGTCTTTGCTTTACAAGGTATTATGCAGTGGGAGATGTCATTATCACCACCCACACTAGTGGGTGGCGATGGATCTAGGCCGCTTTTGAGATCGCCGCGCTCTTTGACGCACGAGTCGCCGCGCGCGGTAAGATTACGATTGTCTTGACGTACTTCCCTCTCAGCATCAGATCCAGCACGACAGCTCGACCGGCAGAAAACTAGCTATGAGTAACATGCTGCTTTCTTATGGGTCTCAAATGCTCTTTAGAGACATTATAAATTCTGCATTATTTTTAGGAAGGATAAGTGACAAAAACTCTCGCGACTTACTGACTGAGCAAACTTGGGTTCATTTCCGGAAATCGGAAACCGGAACAACTTCCAAATGGGGCAGGATATCGAAAAATAGCCAAAATATCATTGAAAAGCCCTTAACTGTCCACAGCTCCCATGTTTTTTGCCATTAAATCTACTCCAAGAATGTACACTTCCAATGTTAGTGCATTACACCAAGTAATATAAATTCCTAGATCGCTCTAATTTTGAAATTTTAGAGAGCGAACACTTATGTACATAGTTATAAATAGTATAGTTGTTATCAGAACAATCCCGCCTCTTTTTTCAAACGAATCTGTTTCCATGCCGGTAATTTTGCGAATTCTTCTTCAGTCATAGAGAAAACACGTCGGAAATCTTCCGAAGAGAGATACTGCAGTAGATTCTTCGTGTCGATTCCTTCCGGGAGAGATTTTCGCGATCGAAGAGCTTCCACGTCGAATGTCTGCGTCCTTTCGGCTATCAGCTCCTGTAAAAGCTATTGTCTCAGAAGTCATGCTCCAATCGATGACTAAGGTAAGAATGTACCTTTAAAGGTCTGGGTGGCGATTGAGGATCGTATCCTTCTGGCCATTCATTCCATTCAGCGAACAGAGCGATGAACTCCTCCGGTTCCTTTCCTTTACCAATCACCGTTACATCGCCAGTTCTGTCTTTCCAGTACAGATCGGCAACCCGCAGAGCAAACGTTGTGGGTGTGCGCTCATTCCAAATCCATAAGCGGTCGCCGATGTCGACAAGGATAGTGTCCACGAGTGAAGCTTGGGTGGCCGGGAACGTACAGTACTGATGGTACTGCGCACTCAGCACTTCGGCCGCTTCGAATTCGTAAATACGGAAAAGACGTGGAGTTTTCGTTCTGCCAACAGCTCGGATCCACTTCACCTGCTCGTCCTCGTCTTCTGTTTGAGTTTCTATTCGTACGGAATCCTGAAACGTTATCAAAATACCGTTTGTAAAATCAATGCAAGAATTGCCCCCGGCAATCAGTTCAACAGTTGGAAATCAGTAAAGTGAAGACAAAACCATATTTTACCTTCAAGTTGAAGACATCTCGGAGCTCACATATGGCTTCAGCTAGAACCAACCCATTGTTCACCATCACATTATCCGTGGATAAGCCTAAAAAGTGCAGTATAAGTTCCATCCTAATTGTTATAATGAAATTTGATTCTAAATAACTGAAACACAATAGTGAAGCGTTATATGT